ATAATAATAATAATAATAATAATCTACTTCTCCTTTGGAGAAAATTTACGAATGACCAGCCTGAACACACAGCAGGGTTTGGGTTTTTTCCCCTGGGTTTTTTGTTGTTGTTTATTTTATCTTTTAAGTCAATGAACTACCAGATGCTTGCCAAGCCTCATTTATAACAGAAGAAAATCTCTTTCTGCTCACCTCCACTACAGATCTAAGCGTCAGTTTCCCTGTAAACATCACCTGAAGTCAGGAATATTTTCCAAGTGAGCATTTAATAGAGAAGAGATAACATCTTTTTAACCTCAGTTCAGGATTTGACTTTGGATATTACTGGTGTAAGTAAAATTTGAAAGCCCTTCAACAATACCATTCATAAAACAGCATCTTCCTTTTTACAGTGAGCACGGATCACAGGAGACAAGTTACAATTAGAATAACACCTAGATAGGTCAAGTCTCCTCCCAAATTAGCGGAGGTATTTATTTACTGGCAGATCTACCTTAATATACAGCAAAAGCATTTTGTTCTGCCTAACTTCTTACGTTGGGTCACAGGTTTAGGGTTGTACAAAACATACACAGACTTCCAAGTTATTTCAGAAGCATGCCCTGCCATGATGTCCAACTACAAACTGAAGAAGTCAACTGCAACAGATTGTTAAATCTAAGCAGGTAATAATTTCAGTGAGACAGGCATTAACATTAAAAACTGGGACATCCACTTCAGACAGCTGCTGAGAATTTGGCACAAGTGAAAATTCAACTGTATCAGATTCAACTCTTCCTTTTTTTATTTTTCCTTTTTTTCTTTTTTTAAACTTCATTGCATTACTACACCAAATGCATTTACCTGTACTGCAAGATCAGGATTCTGGCTTAATGACTGCATCATGCTTCTCATATAGGGTGCAGATAACATATTCTGCATAAGTTGTGGGTTTTCTGTTATCTGCTGTAATAAGCTCTGCATTCCTGGTGTGTTGAACATACCAGCTTAAAAAGTAAAAAAAACCACTTCAGTAAACATCCTGACTATCATCAGATGAATTAGGCTACCTAAAACCAGAATATAACCACTTGGTTTCTGAGTTTTAGTCCCTGAAATATACCTTAACATGGCATAGACAGACACATCTACCCTGGAAGTTAAGACAGAGGCTGTATCCGAACAGTCCCATTAAGTATCTGCATTATTAGCTGTTTTCACATTTGCCTCCTAACAGGTAAAATACTATCATTCATCTAGAGATTCCCTACCTTTGTTGTTAAAGACCATTACCACTTCTAGTTTACTTTTCATGTTTGTTTTTCTACAGAGGACTTTGATACTAGTCAAACGTTCTATGAAAGTAAACAGCAGTTAAAACTTGGAATCAAAACTTCTCTTGCTAATGAAAGAATCATTTCAGCAGACTCCCAAGTATGTGCAAATATATGCAAATTGCAGTAACAAACACACCTCCTAGTCCAGGTCCCAAATTTGGTACAGCTGAGCTCTGTCCTGTGCTGCCAGAGGTGCTATTTCCAGCAGTACTACTGCCACTGCCCTCACCACTGCTGCTGGTGCTTGTTGTGGAAGCCTGTGAGCTGGACTGAGGAGGAGCCCAAGGATTCGGTAAAGGATCTCTATTTTCTGTCCGAGATGGCTGATTGTCTGCTCCTGTTGATGCATTGCTTACCAAAGAAGCAAATGGGTTACCTCCAAACTACAGAAGAAGGAAAGCAAACGTGTCATCTACTAAAGCCAACCGGTTTTAAGTCTGCTATAAAAAGCAAGATACCCTTCCAAAATTACACATGAATATAAACGTTGATGGGTCTTGACCAGTTATACTCACCATCCTACAGTAATTCATTTAAATATTCTAGAAAGATGCCAACAACGAAAGATACTAGCACCTCCAACAAATCAAATCATGTTTCTTTTTGAAAGCAGTGTTGCTACTACACCGGTATTTTGGCCTCAGTAAGAGTGTATCTTGTATACTAGTTTTTAATTGCAAAGCCTTTTTTCCTTCCATCTGAGGTTCCAAGTTACTAAACACATCTTTAAGAAATTTTACTGGACCACAGAATTTTAAAGAAAATAATTAAAGGAATTCAAATTGAAGTGATACAGGAGTTCATTAACTTTAAAATAGTTTCTCAAACACACAAAGCAATACCTGTATTTCTTCAAGCTTAGAAGAGCACAGAATTCTTAAAGATCTTTCAAGAGTAAGATGCCACATGGTGACCAAGCTTCACCAAACGTTTGTCAAGTACACGTGTGGAAACTGATGTTACTTTTACATGCTTTTAGAAGAAAACCACGTTACTTTCGGTGGCATTGGCAACCTTTTCTCACCTGTTCCTGTGCTGCATTCAATATCGGCTCCTGAATATCTGTGTACATACGGCGCAAGGCATTGTATCCACCCGGTATACTTTCCAGGTTGCTCAAGGCGCGATCTTGGTTTCGCATCATTTCCTGCATCATTGCAGGGTTTCTAGCAAGTTCTAATGTCTAGGGAAGTGGAACGTTTAATCTGTGTTAATAAGAAATCCATTCTAAAGTGAAAACGTCAGCATTTGGCAATGTCTCAGTTACCACTGTCTAACCCAGTTTCAGATTATGATTAAAGTCAAATCAAGACGTCAGCTTAGTGCGAGTCAACTGGTTAGATATTCAGCCAGTGTTCTACCACAACCGCCGCTATGCTGGCTCGGTCAGGAAGCACTGGCTAAACAGAAGAAAAACCTGGAATGAACTGTTCTTTTCTTTCTGTCTTCATCTTTTCAGCACAATATACTCCTACCATTTCCAGCATTGCTACAGCAGGCAGTCTATAATACAAACTTTAAAATAAATATCTACATTTGCAAAAGTATCCATTTGGTTTTTTTGACACCTTCTGCCACAAAGCATAACTCACGTACCATCTAATTTTAAAAGCACTCAGAAGTACCCACAGTTAGATAAAATGAAAGTGTGTAGTATCTGGGAGGGTTACTTCTTTTGGTAAACTCATTGTTGGCTAGGCAACAGAAGGTTTCAAGTGCACACGGAGACATCCAAATCTGACCTCATGAAGACACGATTACAGAGTCTTCAATGTATTTCAAAACTATGCTGCAGAATTCCTGAATTATTAGTCTATTTCAGACATCAACAACTAGAAAAACAAACACCAGTTGCCTACAGCAACCTTTTATGGATTTTCTAACAAGTCTAAATAGTCAAGAATGTTTAAGCACTCAACTAAGCACGTCCACTTCCTTCTCTGTTGTTCACAGTTACAGTATAATCAAAGGTCATGAACTTACAGAGATCCTTCTACATACCTGTCTCATTATATCTGGATTATTCAGCATGTGACTGACTTCTGGGTTTCTCTGTATCAGTTGCTGCATTTGAGGGTTAGCCATAATTAACTGCCTCATCAGGTCAGGATTTGAAAGCATGCTCTGAACAAATGGATTTTCCATTATCTGAACCATCATTTCTGGGTTGGACATAAGTTGCCGTTGCATCTGACTTTGCAACTCTGAAAAGTTTGATGTATTTAAGCCCAGGCTACTCAGACCTGCCAAACCTCCAAGACCACCTTTAAGAGGATGAAAAAAATATAATTGAACTTTCAGCTTCTAGCATACTGCTAAACACATCCAGGTTCTTTCTAAATACAAAACACACGAAGACATCCCACGCTCCAAAATAACGAAAACTCAGTCTTTACAAGGCTGTTAAGGAGTTAAGAGTTTGCTTCCCCAAATAACAAGACACACAACTAAAAAGCCAAACTGCATCTGAAATATAAGTTGCTACAATTCTAACAGATTTTATTCTCATCTTCCACAGCTAAGATACGAGGGATGTTTGGGCTCTGGGGCATTAGCTTTCCCCCACCCCCAACACTTTCCAATGCATTTAGAGTAACAATTTAACTGTCTTCTTGGTTAGACTATGACCAAGAGAGATTTCCCAATATGACTCATATTCACTATTCTAAGTAGAGCTGCTCTTCTTAATGCACCAAGAACTAATTATTGTTTGACCTCCCCTCCTTTGTTGAGTCCCAACAAAGTTCTTCAGAAGGTGGTAGTCAGTCTGAAGAACTGTTCACACCTAAAGAAGTAATTGCTTACTGTGGCAGCTTTCCAATCCTACTGCTAACCCTGCCCCGTGAACCAGAACGCCACTGTGATGATGGAAATACATAGCATTTTTAAGTCAAGAGACTGCAGCCTCTTTATTCATGAAAGAGAAGATTGATAAATTGTATCATATGCTGAACCTGAAACATTGAATTGTAAGATGAGCAGCAATTTTGTTACTTCAGTTCCAGATCTTGGCTTCAAGTTACAGGTCCAACCTCACCAACAGTCTCCTCAACAGTTCATATGCACTTTCAAGGACCACAAGGACACTGGAAGGAGTTTCATTACTCAGTGTCAGAATATAACATCAGTGGCACCTTACTACTGAAGTTCTGCATATAAAATTAAGGAAACAACTTCCCTCTGATAACTTAATGATCAGAAACCTTCTACATCCAATACCATAGATATTTTCAAAGTTTTTTTGGGGCAGTGTGTTTGCTTGGATTTTTTTTTTTTAAAGTTCTTTCTACATGAGACTAAAGTTTCAGGAACAATTACCTGAATCCAAGAGAAGACACCCACCACGCTACCTAACAAATATTCTTACCCAAGCTAAAAGGGTTACTATTTGTCGAAGTTGGTGTTGAGGTACTACTGCTTGAAGTTGACGTGGTAGCAGTACTCCCAGTGGTGTTTGCTTGTTGAGCTGGGTGGCCTTGTGATCTAAAAAAGCAAGTTTAGAAGTTGCAAGTTTAACAAGTTAATTTAAATAATGCCATTAAATACAGGAATAATGTCACACTTGTGAATCTTAATTTCGATTTTGATTCTTTCTCAAAAAAATCACACCATTAACTCTAGATGGCTTCCTGTAAGGAATCTTTCTCAGATATCTGTAACGTTACCAGTTTTGCAGAACAGTAGTTTGGAGCGTTAAGAAAATGGATGGGCACCACTGCAGCCGTTAGCACCTTCTCACCCTATCCCCAGGATGCCTGTCAATTAATTGTTTCCTTTGCCCTTACCTTACTTGAAGGATACTTGCCTTATTCCACTACACCCACTACTAATTACATGCCTGAGACTTAAAGACATAAAGCCTACCAAAATTTAATGTCAGATTCATTTCATGCCACATCTTTCATAGGATGCCTTACTGAATGGAAAATTCAGTTAATGTCTTATTTCATTAGAAGATGGGTTTAAATTGAAAGTAGGTGGATTTAGATTAGATATCAGGAAGAAGCTCTTCACAGAGAGAGTGGTGAGGCACTGGAACAGGTTGCCCAGAGAAGTGGTGGATGCCCCATCCCTGGAAGTGTTCAAGGCCAGGCTGGATGAGGCTTTGAGCAACCTGGTCTAGTGGAAGGTGTCCCTGCCCATGGCAGGGGGCTTGGAACTAGATGATCTTTAAGGCCCCTTCCAACCCAAACCATTCTGTGATTCTATGAAGACAAGTATCAGAATCCCAGTAACCTTTAAGTTCTCAAGACAGAGTAGAAACATAGTTACACAAAGTTAAAGCCAATGTATTTTAGCACAGGCACAAAGAGCTACCCAAGCCATACACTCAACCACCTTTCTACTGCAGAGGCATAAACTTGTGTGCTGCCACATGGTAAAAGAGGTCAAGGAACTGTGTAAAGCTAACCTGGCCTCTGTTCCAAAGAAGAGGCTAGTATGAAACCCAAATCAGTTCTCTCATCTTGTTCAACAATCAATCTCATAAATGCCTGTATTTGTAGAACTACAAAAATAAAATAACTTGTAGAAACTATGAATTCAGACTTCACACAAAGATTTGAGGATTAAACAGTACACTAAATTTTATAACTCAGTTCATCTCAGAGTACCTTTCAGCTATAGTGAAATTCTGTGCTTATTTCACTAAAGCAAGACTGAAAAAAAAAAACCCCAACCCAAAAACCCCAAAACAAGCAAAAAAAACCCCAAGCCTAAGAGATGCCTCAGGTCCAGAGGCTTCCCTGAGGTTTCTAAGAGTTCTCTGACTCCAGGATAAACATCAGCCACCAAAACCAAACAGAAAGCCAACAAGCAATTAAACACTTTGCACACTTCACAAGTTCTCTCACCAAATCAACACTAGCTTATAAGCAGCGAGTCTGTTGGTACACTGTGCTGATCTGATCAGTGTCCTTGTAAATAGGTAAACAAAACTTGGCATGCCAAGCCATGAAAGCATACAGTGCCATGGGACCAAATCACCTCATTCACGTTCTGACTGATGTTCGGGGTGTAAAGGAGGAGAAACTAATTTGAGTCCACAAGATCTAACAGCTCTTCTAAAACTTCAGTCTGCAGTGATTCCTATGGATTTGGCTTTATACTTTCAGGTCTATATAAGCACACACAGATGCTACTGAAAGAAAATCTGTTCTAGAGGAAGCCTTCCAGATGGACGCTAGCAATCCACGAAAGTGAATACCTGGACGCTTGGCTGCGACATAAGTTGCCCTGATATAAGGCATTGGGTGAAACTCGGGGCTCCTGAAAAGAACAAGCATTAATCCTCTAACATTAACAGCAACTGCAAACCTTGAACAGAAGATGACTACAGTCAGCCAAGCAGCTGGACCTTCAAGGAGGAAGATTACAGACCATATACTGACCATGAGTCTTTGAAGATACTTGGTTTCCCCTCGTCTAGAAAACACATAAATCTTTCTTCCATAAGCAAAAGAATAATAAGCATAAAACTATTTGTTTTTTCAACTGAGAAGCTACTTTGAGAAGCACCTGTACCTCTTCACATAACAGACAAGAAAGGTTCTCAAAGCAGGACAGAAAAGTAGAGGAGACTAAAAACATGCAGCTCACAGTGATTCTATGGAAATTGGGAGTATGTACCCTCAAGATAATGGTTTGACTGTCAAGTCTGTCAGCCTCCAGTCTTTTGCATGAGTGAAATTCCTGTAAAGTGCACATCACCTTTTATATCCAATTTGCCATTACGATTCCTCCTGCTGGTTGTGAGCAAATTACAGGTGTTGACTTGGAACTTTGTATTGAGAGATTCAATGCATCTTCACTGCCCATTGCTAATCTCTCACTGCTATTCTGACACTGCACAGACCAGGTTACAAGATTACACTGGAAGCCTGTATCATTCCGGAAAATGTAGCACACAGTAATAAAATCACCTTTTTTCAACAAGGATTGGTTGGGATATGAGGAGTCGTATTTGAAAGTTACAAATCTAATATTGATTGGAAGGGAAAAGATCATCTTCAGATCTAGTTTTGGAAAAGAACTTTCATTTATTCAGAAATATAGCAGCAACAGTTATCAGAAAAGCAAATGGCACAGCGTAAAGTGGTTGGGAGCAATCCAATCTCGATACTCATGGTCAGAAATCAGCACTCCTCAGGCCACACCAGCAGGGTGTAAGTCTTGCCTTTTGTGCCAAGCATAAGATCCAGGTATTTTTGTAAGAAGAATGTCTAGATGTTTCAGGACGTTGTTCTTCCTCAAAGGTGCTTTTCATTGTTCTGGCAATTCCACTTAGCAGGTCTTAGGAGTGTATTTTTAGTTTATCCAGGTGAAGTTAGTAGGTGAAATATTACTGCCTCATTTGAAGACAGGGTAGATATATGCAAGGGGTCTGTGGTTTTTTGTTTGCACTTCCTCGTCTCAGACATGATTAAAACATTCTAAAGTTAAAGAGAGTGATGCAGGGATACCACAAATTGCCCCAAAGCCATAAATGTGGCATTGCGCATGGGTGTTCCCTGGGCCAAAGGCAAAGCACAAGGCGTACGAGACTGGCACGGGTATTTCAGTACACACAGTTGTTGTAGGTCCAACCCACGAGCCCACTGAAGACTATGCAAGTCAAAAGCACCCTGCTATCACTACTTATGAAGCCTCTCTGCCACACTCAAGACCGCAGAGATAAAAAGCACAAGTCATCCCAACAGCAGAACACTAGTTTCGATGCATGGAGCAGATAATGTCAGTATTGGCTAAAACTGTATACAAGATTAGGATGGCTATCAGGCCTAAATTTCAGGCTAAGGAGGCATAGAGCAGGGAAGGGAGGCTTCTGCCAGCACAAATAAAAGTGTTTTGACAGAAACAAGACTACAGAAGAGACAAGAGAGTCCCGCCAGGATGTAAGCATGGAAATGCAGGTATTACTAGCACCTACATTCAATGCTAATGCTATTAATAGGCCTTTATGACTTGGTGAAGCTTGGAAAGGGAAACTATTTTCTTTTCTATCCTAAGTTCCCTTCTCTTTCCTTCATCATCTGACATTTTCCCATAGGAGAAGATCCTCACCACACAGCAGAAAGACTTAAGTAGAAGAGGAGCCAGAACACTTTAAATCTTGAACAACAAACACATCATTGACTAAGCAAGCCAGATTCAGTTGAGGGATTCATCACCCTACTTGCTGAAAGGAGTTTCTAGTTGAGCCTTTTCCTTCTGAGAACGTCACAGGAAATAATGGGCAGATGACATAGCTCAACTGACACAACTTTCTCATCGTCATTTTACAGTGGCCCCAAACAGGAAGAAAAAAAAAAAAATCTTAAAATCCAAGTCTTCCTGTTCAGCCAGATAAATTAGTTGCACTAAAGCTGTTCTCTCATAAAAAAATTTCTTTCCTGGCTTCACCAAAACAGTACATAAGGACTCACTAAAAGTTTTCACATGTGGAGGAAGAAAAACAAAGTACAACATATCCACGTGGATGGTAGGTGCTGATATCTAAGAATTGTGGAGCAAAACCCCTCAGCACTAAAACAAAGAAGTTAAATAACAAAAAAGCAAGCGACTTGCATTTAGGAACATGAATACAATTAAAATCCAAGATCGGTCAAAGAAAAGAGAACTGTAAGTTTAGACTGTTATTCTGCATCAACTGTGACTAAGGAGCTGACTAAAGTGATTCAGTCAAACCTAGGTTCGCCCAGCGGAAAGTGGTCACATTAAGAATTCAAAATATTTTTATTCTTGAAAGGTAAATAAAAGATTACTTATCAGTAAGGTTACCTGTTTTGTGTTTTGATAACCAGGTGAACAGTGAGACCATCGTGAATTCCATGCTGAGTCAAGGTATCTTGATCTTTCAAAATCTTTCCAGCAAATATCAACACAAGCTGGTCAGTGTGGGACTTGAAACGCTTAGAGATTTCTTCCTTGAACTAAACAAAGAAGTTAGTATTATACATTTATGTAATGGAATAATGAACTATAACTTTCTAGTGATTTGAAGACAAGTTATTTTATTCATATTTAATGTATTACTGCACTTGCACTACACATTCTGCTTTATACAATATAGAAATACCTTATTAAATTTTCTCAACTTTTTCATCCAGGGAAGATGGCAAATAGTTATTTCTTTTCTGTACAATAAATACCCAAAGAGTGTCACAGATAGATGACAAGTTACATAACTACCAGTAACAAAAATCTTATTCCACTTAAAGACTAAATATTAAAGACTACTTCCACTTAAATACTAAATAATAAAAAAATCTGAAACCCCTAAATACTAATTAATAAAGGCTTTAATCAGGCATTCCCCCATGACAATAAATATATACAACTTCATATACTCACATATACACTGTAAAGTATGTATATATTTACATACTGGTAAGTGTACAGTAAGACATATATATACATACATATGCATACATATATATGTATATATATATATTTATGTACACACACTCCACACTGAAGCCATTGATTGCTGTAAGACTGAGGAAGCAAAGTCACAAGTACAGTAAATCTGTCTACACTTCTGCTGGAACTGAAAAGAGAAGTATCCTCTCTTCTCAGACATGTATTTGCTACCTTCCACGTATCAAAACTAGCATCCCTTTCCACACAGGCAAAAAGTTACCACTCAGGCAGCTCCGCTTTCTTTCTTGTTCAATGCATGACGTAGCTACATGAAATGTGTTTGCAGCCCAGAGCATGAACAGCCCCATTCGTCAGTTGAGCAGGAAATCATACCCTCGTTGAAACAACTGAACATGGAAGCCCACCATATATCTTCTTGCCTTCCTAAGCAATGATAACCAGGTTATACTTTGATGGGAGTTCTGACTGAGATTTATTATCCTCTGGAAAAATACTCTCACTGAAAGCAATAAATTAACAAAACTTAAAAAGGAACATATCCAAGAAAAACGCTAAGGAATTACTTGATTATAAGAAAGCCAGATAAATTTATTCCACAAGACTAATGAGTAAGCTAAGTATTTTTATAAGGATCCCAGGCAGTCAGGAAATCCTTCAGAAGTTCACTCTGATATTTTAAAATTAAGTTGACCAGACTATTCTAATAATTGCCCCAAACTTCCTAGGGAATTTTCACTCCATATAGGAGGACAAAATATTAATTTTGCAATTAGTTATTAATAATTACATTTCATAATAGGCAGGATTAAAAAAAGTAAAGTCCCACTATATTATGTTTTGAAGGTGAGCCTCTAATTGAAAGAGTATAGGAAATATAGAATATAGAAATAGTATAGGAAGAAGAAGAAAAAAAAACAAAAACCAACAAACCAAAACCCAACAAACTAAAACAAAAGAGTCTGACAAACAACAGTGGTCAAAAATATCCATGTTTGGGCAGGAAGTTGCCCTTGGTTAGTTAAAAGTCTGCTCAGAGAGAGTTAGTTGAGTTCCTGAAGAAACAACTTTAAAGTCAGCTTTTATACTGGCAATATTTAGACTTGCAAGTATTCCATGAAGTCAGTCAGTCCATTCCCTCCCAAAGTGGGTTACTTACCTGAACTATTTCTGACATGTTTATCTAGTTTGTTCTCTGAGGTACCAAGCAATTTTTTTTCCAACAAATCTATTCCAGCGTTTCACTAATCCTATTTCTTCGTTGTCCTTAGAATAAAGGGTTGCAGTAAGGCTAATCTTATCTTTGAGGGTTGTGTTTTCTTATTCAATCATTCCCATCACTCTTTGGATTTTCAAATCCAATGACATAATTTTTTTAAGTGTGGGGCTCAAAACTAGTCAAAATATTCCACACCAGTTCTTATCTACACTTAGTGGAACAACAGGATAAACACCACATGCTGCAAGCTATCCTCCTATTTGTAAGAAAAGTGAGAAATCCATGTGGGAAAATATTTGTGTGCAGGCTTACTTAACAGCTATAAACTACAGACCCTTTACTGCAGAGCAACTATTCAGGGAGTTGCTTCCTATTCTGATTATCCTGGTTAATTATTCTTGATACATATTCCAAAGCAATACAAAACCAGCAGAAATACTCATAATATGGCACAAAGGTAATGCGTAAGAATAAAAGCCTACCATAATGTGTCCGACCAAAGAGTAATGTCATTTACCCAAACTCATTTGTTACCATATTTTTCACAATATGTTGTAACAGTGAGATCCACAACTCTCATAGAGGGCTGTAGTTGTAGTTTAGCAATATTCATTGTATCATGAAATATCTGAAGTTGGAAGGACCCATAAGGCTCACTGAGTCCATTTCCCTGATCCTCACAAGACTGACTAAAACTAAACTGTATGACTAAGAGCATCGTCCAGACGTTCCTTGAACTCTGACAGACTTGGTGCCATGATCACTTCCCTGGGGACCCTGTTCCAGTGATCAACCACCATCCCAGTGAAGAGGCTTTTCCTAATGTACAACCTGAACTTCCCCTGACAGAGCTTCACTCCATTTCCTCGATCTCCTGTCTGTGGTGACTAGGGACAGGATACACCACATCCCCTTCCACTGTCTCCCCTTGAGGAAGTTGTAGGTTGCGATGAGGTCACCTCTCAGCCTCCTCCTCCCCACGCTGAACAAGCCAAGTGACCTCAGCTGCTCCTCGTACATCTTGCTGTCAAGGCCCTTCACCATCTTGGTCACCCTCCTCTCAACACATTCTAACAGTATGATGCCCTTCTTCAAATTACTTTTTAGAATCATAGAATCTTTTA